GTCATAAGATACAATGTACTGTACACGTCTACGTCATAAGATACAATGTACTGTACATGTCTACGTCATAAGATACAATGTACTGTACACGTCTACGTCATAAGATACAATGTACTGTACAAGTCTACGTCATAACATACAATGTACTGTACACGTCTACGTCATAAGATACAATGTACTGTACACGTCTACGTCATAACATACAATGTACTGTACACGTCTACGTCATTACATACAATGTACTGTACACGTCTACGTCATAACATACAATGTACTGTACACGTCTACGTCATAAGATACAATGTACTGTACACGTCTACGTCATAACATACAATGTACTGTACACGTCTACGTCATAGCATACAATGTACTGTACACGTCTACGTCATAGCATACAATGTACTGCACACGTCTACGTCATAAGATACAATGTACTGTACACGTCTACGTCATAAGATACAATGTACTGTACACGTCTATGTCATTACATACAATGTACTGTACACGTCTACGTCATAAGATACAATGTACTGTACACGTCTACATCATAAGATACAATGTACTGTACACGTCTACGTCATAAGATACAACGTTGCAGAATAATAACCATTGGAGTTACAAGTTACTGTATACTCTACAGATGGCCAAGTCAAGGTTAATAATCCTTTGCCGTGACATTCCAAAGGTGTGCAGGAAATGTAACATATACCATATGAACCTTATATATACATATATATAGATACAATGTATATGTACAGAGAGAGAGAGAGTGCAATGTAGAGGAAGCTCACCTCCTCCCCCTGGATGAACTGCTGGCCCAGGTCTATGAAATCGTCCACCTTGATGAACCCGTCAGCATCCTCGTCACAAACATCAAAGACGTGGCGGAGCCGCTGGACGAAGTGCAGGACATGATGACCTCCCAGATCCTCCACTGTACCCCCTCCTCCCTCCATCAGGGAGACTATAAAGCACTGAGCCCAAATCCTGCCAGCGCCATCTTCACCCTCCTCATCATCATCATCACTGCTGCTGCTGCATCCCTCCACAGGACCACATCTGACATCAGCTGGAGAGAGGAGGGGGGGAGAGGGATGGAGGCTGGGGGAGGACAAAGCTGAGGGATACAAAGGTGGGAGGGAGAAGAGAGCTGGGCATCCGAATGTGACGGATACGGAGAGACAGAATCAGGAAGAAGGGGAGAGAAACACCAGAACCCGGGAAATATGGAGGGACAAAATTAGAAGAAGGGAAGACACAAAAGAATCTGGGACAGAGCCAGAACCTGAGAGAGAGATATATGTGGAGACAGAAGTATGAAGAAGGTGAAGACACACCAGAACCTGAGAGAGAGAGATATGTGGAGACAGAAGTATGAAGGGGAAGACACACCAGAACCTGAGAGAGAGAGAAATGTGGAGACAGAAGTATGAAGAAGGTGAAGACACATCAGAACCTGAGAGAGAGATATATGTGGAGACAGAAGTATGAAGAAGGGGAAGACACATCAGAACCCGAGAGAGAGAGATGTGGAGGCAGAAGTATGAAGAAGGGGAAGACACATCAGAACCCGAGAGAGAGAGATGTGGAGGCAGAAGTATGAAGAAGGGGAAGACACATCAGAACCCGAGAGAGAGAGATGTGGAGGCAGAAGTATGAAGAAGGGGAAGACACATCAGAACCCGAGAGAGAGAGATGTGGAGGCAGAAGTATGAAGAAGGGGAAGACACATCAGAACCCGAGAGAGAGAGATGTGGAGGCAGAAGTATGAAGAAGGGGAAGACACATCAGAACCCGAGAGAGAGAGATGTGGAGGCAGAAGTATGAAGAAGGGGAAGACACATCAGAACCCGAGAGAGAGAGATGTGGAGGCAGAAGTATGAAGAAGGGGAAGACACATCAGAACCCGAGAGAGAGAGATGTGGAGGCAGAAGTATGAAGAAGGGGAAGACACATCAGAACCCGAGAGAGAGAGATGTGGAGGCAGAAGTATGAAGAAGGGGAAGACACATCAGAACCCGAGAGAGAGAGATGTGGAGGCAGAAGTATGAAGAAGGGGAAGACACATCAGAACCCGAGAGAGAGAGATGTGGAGGCAGAAGTATGAAGAAGGGGAAGACACATCAGAACCCGAGAGAGAGAGATGTGGAGGCAGAAGTATGAAGAAGGGGAAGACACATCAGAACCCGAGAGAGAGAGATGTGGAGGCAGAAGTATGAAGAAGGGGAAGACACATCAGAACCCGAGAGAGAGAGATGTGGAGGCAGAAGTATGAAGAAGGGGAAGACACATCAGAACCCGAGAGAGAGAGATGTGGAGGCAGAAGTATGAAGAAGGGGAAGACACATCAGAACCCGAGAGAGAGAGATGTGGAGGCAGAAGTATGAAGAAGGGGAAGACACATCAGAACCCGAGAGAGAGAGATGTGGAGGCAGAAGTATGAAGAAGGGGAAGACACATCAGAACCCGAGAGAGAGAGATGTGGAGGCAGAAGTATGAAGAAGGGGAAGACACATCAGAACCCGAGAGAGAGAGATGTGGAGGCAGAAGTATGAAGAAGGGGAAGACACATCAGAACCCGAGAGAGAGAGATGTGGAGGCAGAAGTATGAAGAAGGGGAAGACACATCAGAACCCGAGAGAGAGAGATGTGGAGGCAGAAGTATGAAGAAGGGGAAGACACATCAGAACCCGAGAGAGAGAGATGTGGAGGCAGAAGTATGAAGAAGGGGAAGACACATCAGAACCCGAGAGAGAGAGATGTGGAGGCAGAAGTATGAAGAAGGGGAAGACACATCAGAACCCGAGAGAGAGAGATGTGGAGGCAGAAGTATGAAGAAGGGGAAGACACATCAGAACCCGAGAGAGAGAGATGTGGAGGCAGAAGTATGAAGAAGGGGAAGACACATCAGAACCCGAGAGAGAGAGATGTGGAGGCAGAAGTATGAAGAAGGGGAAGACACATCAGAACCCGAGAGAGAGAGATGTGGAGGCAGAAGTATGAAGAAGGGGAAGACACATCAGAACCCGAGAGAGAGAGATGTGGAGGCAGAAGTATGAAGAAGGGGAAGACACATCAGAACCCGAGAGAGAGAGATGTGGAGGCAGAAGTATGAAGAAGGGGAAGACACATCAGAACCCGAGAGAGAGAGATGTGGAGGCAGAAGTATGAAGAAGGGGAAGACACATCAGAACCCGAGAGAGAGAGATGTGGAGGCAGAAGTATGAAGAAGGGGAAGACACATCAGAACCCGAGAGAGAGAGATGTGGAGGCAGAAGTATGAAGAAGGGGAAGACACATCAGAACCCGAGAGAGAGAGATGTGGAGGCAGAAGTATGAAGAAGGGGAAGACACATCAGAACCCGAGAGAGAGAGATGTGGAGGCAGAAGTATGAAGAAGGGGAAGACACATCAGAACCCGAGAGAGAGAGATGTGGAGGCAGAAGTATGAAGAAGGGGAAGACACATCAGAACCCGAGAGAGAGAGATGTGGAGGCAGAAGTATGAAGAAGGGGAAGACACATCAGAACCCGAGAGAGAGAGATGTGGAGGCAGAAGTATGAAGAAGGGGAAGACACATCAGAACCCGAGAGAGAGAGATGTGGAGGCAGAAGTATGAAGAAGGGGAAGACACATCAGAACCCGAGAGAGAGAGATGTGGAGGCAGAAGTATGAAGAAGGGGAAGACACATCAGAACCCGAGAGAGAGAGATGTGGAGGCAGAAGTATGAAGAAGGGGAAGACACATCAGAACCCGAGAGAGAGAGATGTGGAGGCAGAAGTATGAAGAAGGGGAAGACACATCAGAACCCGAGAGAGAGAGATGTGGAGGCAGAAGTATGAAGAAGGGGAAGACACATCAGAACCCGAGAGAGAGAGATGTGGAGGCAGAAGTATGAAGAAGGGGAAGACACATCAGAACCCGAGAGAGAGAGATGTGGAGGCAGAAGTATGAAGAAGGGGAAGACACATCAGAACCCGAGAGAGAGAGATGTGGAGGCAGAAGTATGAAGAAGGGGAAGACACATCAGAACCCGAGAGAGAGAGATGTGGAGGCAGAAGTATGAAGAAGGGGAAGACACATCAGAACCCGAGAGAGAGAGATGTGGAGGCAGAAGTATGAAGAAGGGGAAGACACATCAGAACCCGAGAGAGAGAGATGTGGAGGCAGAAGTATGAAGAAGGGGAAGACACATCAGAACCCGAGAGAGAGAGATGTGGAGGCAGAAGTATGAAGAAGGGGAAGACACATCAGAACCCGAGAGAGAGAGATGTGGAGGCAGAAGTATGAAGAAGGGGAAGACACATCAGAACCCGAGAGAGAGAGATGTGGAGGCAGAAGTATGAAGAAGGGGAAGACACATCAGAACCCGAGAGAGAGAGATGTGGAGGCAGAAGTATGAAGAAGGGGAAGACACATCAGAACCCGAGAGAGAGAGATGTGGAGGCAGAAGTATGAAGAAGGGGAAGACACATCAGAACCCGAGAGAGAGAGATGTGGAGGCAGAAGTATGAAGAAGGGGAAGACACATCAGAACCCGAGAGAGAGAGATGTGGAGGCAGAAGTATGAAGAAGGGGAAGACACATCAGAACCCGAGAGAGAGAGATGTGGAGGCAGAAGTATGAAGAAGGGGAAGACACATCAGAACCCGAGAGAGAGAGATGTGGAGGCAGAAGTATGAAGAAGGGGAAGACACATCAGAACCCGAGAGAGAGAGATGTGGAGGCAGAAGTATGAAGAAGGGGAAGACACATCAGAACCTGAGAGAGAGAGATATGTGGAGACAGAAGTATGAAGAAGGTGAAGACACACCAGAACCCGAGAGAGATGTGGAGACAGAAGTATGAAAAAGGGGAAGACACATCAGAACCTGAGAGAGAGAGATATGTGGAGACAGAAGTATGAAGAAGGTGAAGACACACCAGAACCTGAGAGAGAGAGATATGTGGAGATAGAATTAGGAAGAATGTGAAGATACATCAGAACCTGAGAGAGAGATATATGTGGAGACAGAATTAGGAAGAAGGGGAAGACACACCAGAACCCGAGAGATACATATGTGGAGACAGAAGTATGAAGAAGGGGAAGACACCTCAGAACCTGAGAGAGAGAGAGATATGTGGAGACAGAATTAGGAAGAAGGGGAAGACACACCAGAACCCGATAGAGAGAGATATGTGGAGACAGAAGTATGAAGAAGGGGAAGACACATCAGAACCTGAGAGAGAGATATGTGGAGACAGAATTAGGAAGAATGTGAAGATACATCAGAACCTGAGAGAGAGAGATATATGGAGACAGAATTAGGAAGAATGTGAAGATACATCAGAACCCGAGAGAGAGAGAGAGAGAGAGAGATATGTGGAGACAGAAGTGTGAAGAAGGGGAAGACACATCAGAACCTGAGAGAGATATATGTGGAAACAGAAGTATGAAGAAGGGGAAGACACATCAGAACCCGAGAGAGAGAGATATGTGGAGACAGAAGTATGAAGAAGGGGAAGACACATCAGAACCCGAGAGAGAGATATGTGGAGACAGAAGTATGAAGAAGGTGAAGACACATCAGAACCCGAGAGAGAGAGATATGTGGAGACAGAAGTATGAAGAAGGTGAAGACACATCAGAACCTGAGAGAGAGATATATGTGGAGACAGAAGTATGAAGAAGGTGAAGACACATCAGAACCTGAGAAAGAGAGATATATGTGGAGACAGAATTGGGATGGCACCAGAAAAAGTCACCAGAAATTGGGATGGATGGACCAGGACACAAGTCAGGAAGGTGAAGGACTAGTTTACAAAGCTCAGAGTGACTTAGGAGGACGATTCCGGCAATGTCGTTTGCGGTCAAGTTTGCGGTCTGATGCGAAATGACTTTCCAGCCCAAGTTTTCTGCCCCCCAAACCCGGCGCTACAAATATTCCCAATGAAAGTCGTCTTCATAAAGTGATTTTTGCTTTCAGCAATATACATGGGTGCGGAGGGAAGGGGAACCCAGGGCCAGACCAGGTGGACGGGTCTTCTCCAGAGGGATGTTCTGACACAATCCTAGTGATATATAGGACAGGAGAAGCCATACAACACAGGTGACAGCAGGAACATCATATTGCCGGAGGGATCATACTCCTCTGATACACTCCACCACTGCTCCCCGGCTCCCGGATTTCTCATCTCAGTTGCTAAGAAACAAAAGATCAGCTTCTCATATCAGAGAGAGAGACAGAGCGCAGCCACCACTCTGCACAATGTCACATCTCATATCACAGAACATGCGTTGTTTGACCAATCCCTGCCCACGTCCAGAGGTGGGAGCAGTCATTATTTCTGCATCACCTCACTTGGCACAAGACCTGACTTTAAGGCAGACCAAAGTTTTTTCACCCATAGCAACTAGATCTCAGCTTCCTGTAGTCAACAGAAGGAAAGTGTATGGCTTGTCTGGAGAGAATGATGGAGGAAGGAGCAGAGTCCTCCAGCAGAGCAGAGTATATCAGGAGAGGAGAGTTATAGAGGAAGGAGCAGAGTCCTCCAGCAGAGCAGAGTATTCCAGGAGAGGAGAGTTATAGAGGAAGGAGCAGAGTCCTCCAGCAGAGCAGAGTATTCCAGGAGAGGAGAGTTATAGAGGAAGGAGCAGAGTCCTCCAGCAGAGCAGAGTATTCCAGGAGAGGAGAGTTATAGAGGAAGGAGCAGAGTCCTCCAGCAGAGCAGAGTATTCCAGGAGAGGAGAGTTATAGAGGAAGGAGCAGAGTCCTCCAGCAGAGCAGAGTATTCCAGGAGAGGAGAGTTATAGAGGAAGGAGCAGAGTCCTCCAGCAGAGCAGAGTATTCCAGGAGAGGAGAGTTATAGAGGAAGGAGCAGAGTCCTCCAGCAGAGCAGAGTATTCCAGGAGAGGAGAGTTATAGAGGAAGGAGCAGAGTCCTCCAGCAGAGCAGAGTATTCCAGGAGAGGAGAGTTATAGAGGAAGGAGCAGAGTCCTCCAGCAGAGCAGAGTATTCCAGGAGAGGAGAGTTATAGAGGAAGGAGCAGAGTCCTCCAGCAGAGTATATCAGGAGAGGAGAGTTATAGAGGAAGGAGCAGAGTCCTCCAGCAGAGCAGAGTATATCAGGAGAGGAGAGTTATAGAGGAAGGAGCAGAGTATTTCGGGAGTGCAGAGTCAGCGATGGTCCTCCCGATACACACATAAGTGATACGAGGGCCTATCCTCGTGCGTCATGACCGGTGTAACATTGAAGACAAGGACACACAATGATTTTTTTTAGCGTTTAATATAAAAAAAGTGACAACACGACATTTACATCTGTTCAATCAGAGTAAGAAGCAGGTCGGAGGTCAGACTTGTCAGGAGGAAGCTGCGATGTGATATGTATAGAAGTGCGATAGCGGAGAGACAATCACAGGTTTATTCAGTGCCGATCCACAGCAAAGCATTCTGGAACCCGTATGAAGGTAGCAGAGCGGCCATTTTGTTCCCCGTAGCCAGGATCCTGCTGGCTCCTCGTGCGGTTACTTCTCCTGCTTTGTGATCATGCGCAGCACTTTCAGCGATGTTTCTGGCTGGTCAGACGGCACCTACCAGAAGAAGACAAGAGGCAGACATCAGGAAAGGGGCGGACAGCCCAGCATAGCCTACGGCTGGAATTCTAACACTCATCACAAGGTCCTCCTAGCTCATTTTAAATTAAACCTGTGCTGCAGTAAACGTTCCTTCCCATGGTGGCGGGGCAATCTGGGGGCATGGCTCCATCCCAACAGGGAGGATAAAAGCTGCTCATTGGCTGTTCCACAAACTCCCTCAGCAGAGTCCATGTAACCGATGAGGGATCGGTTATCTCAGTTCACTAGAACACCCCTGTCACCAGAGTTCTGGGGTGACCAATGACCTAAACATGTAATGGTGACCATGTATGAACAGGCCCTACTCCTGAGGAGGAGGAAACTCCACACGTGAATGAAATACAGGTCCTCTTACCATGTGTCCTGCTTTTAAAATCCAGTAGAAGCCGAAGTTCTCCCAGGTTTTGTAGAAAGCCGCCGTTTCTGTGGACTGCAGGTGCAGTGGTGTCCAGCGCAGGCTCTTGAACTGGTCCAGCTTCTTCCACTTTAGCTGCTTGACCCACCCCTCCTGACCTGGAAGTAAAGACAAGGTGATCACTGCACCTAAAACAATACCAGTCATGTGGAAAAGACGACTGGCTGGCTGGTTGGATGGACAACCCACCCAGAGCCTGCTGGGCATCGAGATGTCATTTTGGTGAGCCAATGAAGGATAGATGGAGAAAGATTTCCCGCTGCATCCTGTTCCACTTACCAACAGTGTCCACTATGAGGTCCAGCTGTCCATTATACACGGTGACATTGATCCCCGCACACAGGAGCTCATCCACAACGCTCACCACTGGCCTCATAAAATCTCCCGCCATGCTGGTGAAGACCTCTGCGGACTGGCCTAGAGGATGAAGAGAACATGAGGTTACATGTGCAGCACGAGAACTGCCACAGCACCCCCAGGCCAGGCACTCGCCTCCCCGGGCACTCGCCACCCCGGGCCAGGCACTCACCTCCCCATGTGACAGAATCTGGAATGATTTTCAGCTTGGCTCTGATTGGTCCATTCATCAGTTCAGACAGGCCATCCGTCTGCAGAGGCAGGATATGCCGCCGGTAGAGACTCCCTGTAGAAGGAGGAGGATGAATAGGTGAAGCGATGACCTCCTGCAGCAAGGCATGCTGGGTAACGGAGACAAGCACTCACCAAGAGCTGGATTATGGAACTTCAGGTTGCTCTTCACATGATTTCCTGACATCAGAGAATCTTTGGTCAGAATATTGTAGAAGTTCACTCCGTCTGTATTCTGCAAATACAAAATGACAGCGAGACTCGCTCAGACCAAACCCATTTCTGCTTTTACTACTGGCCCAGCGGTGCAGAAAAATGTCACTTAACATCTCTGTCTCAGCGTGTGACCTCAAGAGCTGCCAAGAATCAGTTAGAGGAGTCACCGCGAATAACTGGAACGTACAGAATGCAGCGGCGCCCCCGGTGGACAGCTCTGGTACAGCAGCCAATTCTCACCTCTTCTATGACATCTTCCGCCATGGACCAAAGTTCTGTCGCCTTTTCATACTGTTCTTTATTGAGGGCATCCTGGACCGAGTCTGCCGCTTTCTGAACCGCTTTCAGACCATTCTCATCCAGCAGAGACTGCAACAGAGGAGCGGATTGTTACCAACTCTGGATCTTTGCATATATCGCCTTCATATACCAAGGTGCTCTACAGTAATGATTACAACACGGAACCCAACAAGAGACTTTCAACTGGCAAACAGGTCAAAAAGACATCCCTCTGCTACCCCAGAGATCCCTCCGTCATCATCTTCCTGGCCATCCTTCACCTGCAGGCACTTCAGGGGGATAAGAGACCATCTGCCGAAAACTTCCAAGCAGACCAGCAGCATTTGCCTGTCAGGAAGCTGTTTGGATGTATACAGAAGATTTAGGTGCCCCATAGATGGTCCGAACATATCCAGCCATCTATGGGGCACCTATCTAGGGGCCACTGTGCTTCCAAAATGGACAATCTAAGAAGACAAGTCTAGAACCATAAATACTCACAAAGTTATACTTACAATACTGTAGAGATACGGCCCCCAGCTTACCACCGAATCTAACAACACAGAAAAACACCAGACCAGTTAGTAGGACGACTCCCCACAGCACAGCGTACAACCCTCCCTCACAGATGATGGTGTGTCTGGGCACGCTGGCCGGGAAAGAGCGGCGCCTGGGCACGCTGGCCGGGAAAGAGCGGCGCCTGGGCACGCTGGATGGGACGGAGCTGCGCCTGGGCACGCTGGATGGGAAGCTAGCTGGGACGGAGCTGCGCCTGGGCACGCTAGCTGGGACGGAGCTGCGCCTGGGCACGCTAGCTGGGACGGAGCTGCGCCTGGGCACGCTAGCTGGGACGGAGCTGCGCCTGGGCACGCTAGCTGGGACGGAGCTGCGCCTGGGCACGCTAGCTGGGACGGAGCTGCGCCTGGGCACGCTAGCTGGGACGGAGCTGCGCCTGGGCACGCTAGCTGGGACGGAGCTGCGCCTGGGCACGCTAGCTGGGACGGAGCTGCGCCTGGGCACGCTAGCTGGGACGGAGCTGCGCCTGGGCACGCTAGCTGGGACGGAGCTGCGCCTGGGCACGCTAGCTGGGACGGAGCTGCGCCTGGGCACGCTAGCTGGGACGGAGCTGCGCCTGGGCACGCTAGCTGGGACGGAGCTGCGCCTGGGCACGCTAGCTGGGACGGAGCTGCGCCTGGGCACGCTGGCTGGGACGGAGCGGCGCCTGGGCACGCTGGCCGGGACGGAGCGGCGCCTGGGCATGCTTGCCACAATGGAACAGAGCCTGGGCACGCTGGCTGGGACAGAGCGGTGCCTGGGCGGGATGGAGCGGTGCCTGGGCGGGATGGAGCGGTGCCTGGGTCGGTCCCTCATTAGATATCTGCCTGCGTCTGTTAAACTGGCCACACATGTTCCGTTCCAATCTGCTTATACAATCTCCTTCAGATTCACCAACAGCTGTGTGTTGTGAGAGAAAGCCTGACAGGATGCATGGGGATTGGGGAGCCGCAGTCCCTCGTATTATAGAGCTGGTGGCTGATTTTATAAATATTTTATGGTATCCGGACTCTACTCACCAATGGGGGAGATCCAGGAGTCTCCAAGAGCCACTCCTCCGAAATTACACTTAATGTCGCCCACCAGGACGGCCTGCGGGGAAAGACAATGAGCAGTAAGATAGCAGATTCCCAGAGGGAGGTAGGACGAGCGCGAGGAAGGGAGGAAGGAAGAAAGGGCGCGAGGGAGGGAGGAAGAAAGGGCGCGAGGGAGGGAGGAAGAAAGGGCGCGAGGGAGGAAGGAAGAGCACGAGGGAGGAAGGAAGAAAGGGTGCGAGGGAGGAAGGAAGAGAGCGAGGGAGGAAGAAAGAAAGTGCGCGAGGGAGGAAGAAAGTGCGCGAGGGAGGAAGGAAGAGCGCGAGGGAGGAAGGAAGAGCGCGAGGGAGGAAGGAAGAGCGCGAGGGAGGAAGGAAGAGCGCGAGGGAGGGGACACTTGGAGACAGTTGTCACAGACATAAAGCGGGGACAGTATCTAGGATGGAGCAGAGGTGGGCGGAGCTCTATTGGTCGTACATTGAGCTGAATTGTTTTCAGTCCACATACAATGACGCGGCCTCTTCTCCAGCACAGGGGGACATTCTATTATCACTTTACTAGCTTTGTACAACCAGAGGAACCGACCACATCAACTCTGAACTGGAGTCTGAATGTTTCTTGAAGATAAAACGAAGGCCGGAATTCGGGGGGTCGTCTCCCTTCCAGAGCCAGATCAGGTGACCAGTCTTACCTTGTGTAGTGCCAGGGAGATCGCTGCCGCCATCTTGCCTCCGTAGGACTCTGAGAAGATGTAGAAGGGGATGGTCTGTGGGGATAAATCACACCGTTCACAGAGATGGTCACAGGAGACACCCCAAGTCATAATGTACACCACCCCACGGGCCGCCCATCACCCTCCCAGGAAGAAGGGGACCCCGGAGAAAGGACCGGCCCATATACAGGAGAACCTCCATCTGCACGTCACTTGCCTCATGTTGTCATGGTGAAGTAACAGTCCTCCCAACCATAAAATGTCAGCCACATCAGGTGAGAATCTGTCAGCCGCCTTCACAGCAGAAAACCCATCATATTGTACTGCGACTATAACAATGTAACCCAGTGCCAGGAACACGGCATTTCCCATCACCAACATCACCTGGAATTCCGGCTTGGAGAGAAATAATTCTTTCAGAAGGACCAGCATGTCCCCAGAGACGGCGTCCACGTCCTTGGCAAACGCTCCGCCATCCGTCGTGTAGCTGTATCCAGTGCCCACAGGATTGTCCACAAACAGCAGACTGGCAACCTGCACCTGAGGGAACAGAAACATGGCAACCTATACTAGGGTAGGGGGAGGAGTCATGAGGATAGGGACCTGTACCTGAGGGAACAGAAACATGGCAACCTATACTAGGGTAGGGGGAGGAGTCATGAGGATAGGGACCTGTACCTGAGGGAACAGAAACAGGGCAACCTATACCAGGGTAGGGGGAGGAGTCAAGGGGATGGCAACCTGCACCTGAGGGAACAGAAACAGGGCAACCTATACTAGGGTAGGGGGAGGAGTCACGAGGATGGGGACCTGTACCTGAAGGAACAGAAACAGGGCAACCTATACTAGGGTAGGGGGAGGAGTCACGAGGATGGGGACCTGTACCTGAAGGAACAGAAACAGGGCAACCTATACTAGGGTAGGGGGAGGAGTCACGAGGATGGGGACCTGTACCTGAAGGAACAGAAACAGGGCAACCTATACTAGGGTAGGGGGAGGAGTCACGAGGATGGGGACCTGTACCTGAAGGAACAGAAACAGGGCAACCTATACTAGGGTAGGGGGAGGAGTCACGAGGATGGGGACCTGTACCTGAAGGAACAGAAACAGGGCAACCTATACTAGGGTAGGGGGAGGAGTCACGAGGATGGGGACCTGTACCTGAAGGAACAGAAACAGGGCAACCTATACTAGGGTAGGGGGAGGAGTCACGAGGATGGGGACCTGTACCTGAAGGAACAGAAACAGGGCAACCTATACTAGGGTAGGGGGAGGAGTCAAGGGGATGGCAACCTGCACCTGAGGGAACAGAAACAGGGCAACCTATACTAGGGTAGGGGGAGGAGTCATGAGGATAGGGACCTGTACCTGAGGGAACAGAAACATGGCAACCTATACTAGGGTAGGGGGAGGAGTCATGAGGATGGGGACCTGTACCTGAGGGAGCAGAAACAGGGCAACCTATACCAGGGTAGGGGGAGGAGTCATGAGGATGGGGACCTGTACCTGAGGGAATATTGTGGGAAAAGGGGAGGGGTCATGAGGATAGGGAGCTATAGCTTGAAGAAGGTTCCAGGGGGTGACGTACCCAGCTGCTGTTTCGTGGGTTCAGATTGGTATCGAGGGGTCCAATCTCTCCAAAATTACCAAATCCACAACCAGAGGCTCCAGGGCCACCCTGAGAGATGAATGGAGAGCAGTTACCTGACTGGATGGGGAGAGCAAAGAGGATGGAGAAGGAGGACAGACATGGGACACCCAGAGGGGGACAGACATGGGACACCCAGAGGGGGACAGACATGGGACACCCAGAGGGGGACAGACATGGGACAGACATGGGACACCCAGAGGGGGACAGACATGGGACAGACATGGGACACCCAGAGGGGGACAGACTTGGGACACCCAGAGGGGGACAGACATGGGACACCCAGAGGGGGACAGACATGGGACACCCAGAGGGGGACAGACATGGGACACCCAGAGGGGGACAGACATGGGACACCCAGAGGGGGACAGACATGGGACACCCAGAGGGGGACAGACATGGGACACCCAGAGGGGGACAGACATGGGAC